TTTTGGTGATTGGCAAAATTTCAGTTTGGCGAATTTGTGGCCATGTGCCACTGAGCATGCGCATAATGGCTCAAAATGGTGGATTTTTATTTTGGCAAATGGCTATTAAAATGCCAAATTTGCCAAATTTAACTACCTCCAAAATTTCTTTCTATACAATATGTAATAGTAACAATAATAGTAATAGTAATTAGATTACATTAAAACTGTAATAGTAATAGTAATAGAGATACAATCCACTGTAGTATTATAATAGTAATTGCAAACAGTATTTTTTACAAGTAATACAGTAATAGTAATATAATCCTTTTGTCTATAATTGACCCCAACCCTGATTACAATATCACAATTTCATTTAACATACAAAAATTTGTAAACAAAATAATTTTTATTTCCTCTTACTTTAGAGAAGTATTTTGAGGACATTTCTGACAATATTCCATAGAAATATTTCTTGTCAGTCTTGTCGATGAGTCTGTCGTGGAAGACACGCTGACACTCGTGACAAAAAAGTCTAAAAATGTGATCATGCTCCCTAATGACACCAGGATCAGCCTGTAGCACACCTGCAGTGAGAGAGAAATAATGAAGGAGTGACAAGGTACATATATACATACATGTAAGGAAAGAATTTAAGAGGAAGACTACAAAAAATACATTTTAGACAATGGTAATGGCACAAAATAAACATACATGTATAAGTAAAATCATAACATGAATAATAATGTACATGTACCTTGTATACACTTAGAGAGATCTCTCAAATTGAATATGTAATGAGACTTTGCTGGAGTAGGTAACAGATCAGTGCTCATCCGGCCATATATCTCAACACTGTAAATAAAATAAGAGAGAGAGAGAGAGAAAAAATGAAAGAGAGTAGTAAAGTGTAATAATGAGAGAATAATAAAACAATCCTTATGTGCATGAACGTGTAGTTACATGTATGTACATGTAGATGTACATATACAGTACATGTAAGTCTATAATTGTATATTCATTTACCTACCTAGCATTAACAATAGCTTCTGCAGCATCTTTAACTGGCTGAGGAAACTCAGCAAAGAAACCAACAGTTATTGCCTGCAAAAAAATAATTATAAAGTTAGTTACAATCAAAATACATATAAACAAGCAAGATACATGCAACAAGAAGCCACCCAACATTGACTTACATGTAGGCCATTAAGCACGATTAAGCAGTTACTAGCTCAATAATACACGTGTACAAGCATATTATTGTTTTCATAGTAGCATTACTGAAATTGTTTTGATAATTACATGTGCATTGATCCTCGCATACAGCAATACCAAAGAAAAATGAAGGAGTCCCTTCTAAAGCTGCTGAGCCTAATACTGGCTTGTATTATCATTGATAGAGGAGAAGGATCTTATTGTAGGTCCATTCAATGTACTAATGCTGGATCATATCAACAT